GTCGGCTCGGAGTCAGTATAATGTGTCTGAATGGGGTATTCATGCTTCACTGCGGCGTGGTATCTCAGTGGGCTAGCACTATAAAACCAGCTTAAGTCTGGGCTAGTACAAGCAGCCGCACATACACATACACACGCATGCACGTCGTCATATGAGCGAAATATTCTCAAGCACGACGTTAAACCCAATTTCACCTCACCTCACCTCACTAGTTCTAAAGCTACCACTACCACTACTACCACCACTACTACCACTACTACTACTACCACCACATGTGTACCTTTACAGGCGCATGTCTGGCACCCCGTGGCTGGGTCCGTCTGGAACCCCCTTCCTGGACATGCTGGACACACGTATTTAGGACACCACCCTGCGTATGGAGGAGAAGTCAACACCTGACAAAATACCTCACAAGGAGCAGCAACTTACGCTCTAAGACAAGGACACAATTTCTACGAAACCATGTTCTTCGCAAATCAAGCTGAATCTAATTATGTGTTATTTTCAAACTGATTACAATCCTATTAGCGAAACATCTGGGCGTTTAGTGTTTTCCATGGACGTTGTGCATGATATACTCACGTGGCAGGCACGTGCAGGTAGGACAACCTCTGCCGTCCATGACGTAGCCGTACTCACAGTCTGTAGAGCATACCTCACGACCTGGACAACCTGTCATCTTGCCTTGTCCACAAGCTGGCAACACCGACAGACAGAACGATAATTATGTTACTAGTATTTATTTTGCGGGGTAAATATTCAAATATGAAAAAGCATTTCGTACATGACTGACTGAGTTTGGTTTTACGCCGCTTTTAGCAATATTCCAGCAACATCACGGCGGGGGACACCAGAAATGGGTCGTACATGAGGGGCGGTGGGGAGGCCTTGTGGTTAAAGCGTCGCTCGTCACGCCGAAGGCCCGGGTTAGATTTTTCCACATGGGTACAATGTGTGAAGTACATTTCTGATGTCCCCCGTGGTGATATTGCTGGAATATTGCTAAAAGCGGCGTAAAACTACACTCACTCATTCACTCGTACTACATTCAGAGCCGACAAAGAAATACAGCGTCCTCCTCTTCAATCAGAATTACCCACCGTGGATTTGGAGAACGTACCACGTACTGGTTTATTTGTTTTCATTATGTAGTCAATACACAAAGGTACTGATCAGCACTGTGTGACCCGTCTCCAGAGTAATACAGTAGGACTTGGTCTCAATATACTAGGCGTCATTAATAAAGGGTCAAATGATATATAGCACGTGTAAAGAAAGGTTTCTCAGAAATAATCTACACGTCATGAGTTCATCAGAGGCAGGCCATCAGGTAACAAAAGGCGGGCATTGAACACGAACCAAATAGTTTTTGTGTGTTTATGTTGTTTGGGGTTTTTGCGTTGGGGAATGCGTTATAGAGAATTATGAAACAAGCTGATTGGGTACCAATTGAAGGGTCGGTTGGATATCTATCTCTGTTGTTGGAGGGTTTGTGGCAGCAGACTGTCTGCCACTAGTTTTGTTTTCGTGTAGTCCTGGTGTTTAGTGTTGAGGATTTCAACGTGAAATCGATGAGTGGGGATCTTTCGCTGGTAGCCTGAGTTAGTTTATTCACTGCCTGCTATGTCTGCCGTAACGCAAGTATTATCCTATAAAATGTCAGTCAGGACGAATGACTGGTAATGATGTATGGCCGTAGTTGTTGTGACCTCCAACTGGTAGTTGTTGAGACGCCAAGGATCTCAAAGTGAGTGAGTTTGGTTTTACGCCGTTTTTAGCAATATTCTAGTAATACCTGGGGTACACCAGAAATGAGTTTCACACATTGTACTCATGGGGGACGATTTCACAGCAGGGTCAGAGCAACGTTTTAGGATCGGCAGAGCGTAATACTACTACGATTTGTCAAACATTCATTTAGGCGACGGGACCTGCTGCGCATGAGTCTCCCAGTGTGAGGGAGTCACACTCTTCTTGCACCGCATGTCCAGCATAAAAGCGGACGGCGGTCTTTGTAGTGAAACAAGCGTATTCCAGGAGGCGTTCAGTTAAGGGTTGGTCTAGGCTTACAGTTGCGTAGAAAGGAGCACATGCTGCCCGTGTGTCAGTATAGAGTCCCGGTGTCAGTGTCCAGCAGCCGTTCCGGGCAAACGTGGAACGTGGATCGGAGGGGGCTACCAGTCCACTAGATGCCTAACCGATCCACTCTTAAATTTGTCTTGATTTGATCTCACTTTCGGCTTGACGTTGATGTTGACGTCGCCATACTCTACCACTCTACCATATGTCAAGGGAACGTAAAGTGAATAGGGACTCATCTGAAAACCTGACACGTGACCAGCTCGGACGTCGTGTACAGCACTGACCTCGTGCATGAAGATGCGCAACTCGTATGAGTGAGTGAGTGAGTTTTAGCAAATATTCCACCAATATCATGGCGGGGGGCACCAGAAATTGGCTTCACACAATGTACGCATGTGGGGACTGACTGAGTTTGGTTTTACGCCGCTTTTAGCAATATTCCAGCAACATCATGGGCTTCACACATTGTGCCCATGTGGGGATTCGAACCCGGGTCTTCGGCGTGACGAGCCAACGCTTTAACCATTAAGCTATGTGTGGGGAATCGAACCCGGTCTTCAGTGTTACAAACGAACGCTTTACCTTCTAGGCTATCCCATCGCCCCAGTAGAAGTACTTTGACTCGCCGTTTTGGTTCGAATGCGCAGATTCATCGATTCCCTACTTTTGTCACTGGCCCAGGACGTCCTATATTGGGTCGATTGTCAACATATAAAGTTCGATGGTTCCTTTGATGGCCAATCGCAGCTTGCAACATGAGCAACTTGCCGGGTATGCTTTAGTGTTTAGTTTCACAAACATAACATAGCCATCGACAATAATATTTTCTTTTTGTTGAACATTCTTATTTTTATCTTCGACGAGTATAATTATATTGATGCGCACATGGCAAGGATTGGGTACCGTTTATGGGAGATGAGGACAGGTTTTTGACGACAGAATTAAGGAAAACGGTATATGATAAAATGAGATATTATTCCTAATAGAGGATCTTAAGCCTCCCCAAACACACAAGGCCACACGAGTCTCAGCTAACCTTTAGAATTCTGTAGATAATATTAGGATGAATGTTACTGTCGAAACCATAGTTTTGAATATCGAAAATTGTTGTCTAACAGGGTGCATGGCTGAAACGAAAATTTGTAAGGCTCGAATCTTTCTGGGATTCGAACCAGACTTGGCTGCTTTTAATCTTAGCACTTACTGCTGCGCTAGTCCAGATATAGTATTTATTATGATTGTGAATGAGTACTGCTATACGCCGTTTTATATACTATCTCCATTAGACGGCTACCAAGGCCCGGGGTGACACATTGTGCCCCCATTGGATTTCTTACCCCTCTACTGTTGTTAATGAGACTCCCTCTCTGGAGTCGTGGATAGAGCACCTGTTTCCAGAACACTGGTGGTGTAATGGTTCAATCTCTAGCAGTAACACACATCAAAACAGTAAATGATGGTATTTGTTTTTACCGCGCCTGTTAGGTATCCATGCGTGCGTGATTCATGATATCTCACTAAGATAGGACTATATAACAGTTCTTAAGGCCGGTTAGTACAACCACACATGCACGCGCACACACAAAAACAAAACATACAAAGAACTCACACATGCACGTACATGCACACATACATACACATCCATGCACGCACACAAACACAAATACATAAGCACAGGTGCTTGTAACGCCAAACAACGGACATCACGGTATCTACTGTCACTGTCGGGGTCTCAGCACTCCTGTCATATAGTGCTATGACCCTGTTAGTATAGACAACGATGCCAGTTGTTTGCCCCACAAACCCCTCTGGATGTAATCACTTCTGTTACATACATGTCATCCTTCATTATCATGTATAGAGGTTACATTCCGCTGTGTAGGTATTTATACCCCAGGCAGTTTATGATTGAACGGGATTCTTAATATGGAAAAAGTCATTCCCCTCAGAATAATGCTTCATTTAGATTTATAGGGCACTTGCAAGAGGCGGAGGTGACAGTCATAGTTTTTTATCTTTTTATCTTTCTTCTTATTCATTCATTCAATCAATCAATCAATCAATCAATCAATCATTCAATCATTCATTCATTCATTCTTTCTTTCATTCATTCATTCATTCATCCATTCAATCAATCAATCAATCAATCAATCAATCAATCAATCAATCAATCAATCAATCAATCAATCAATCATTCAATCATTCAATCAATCATTCATTCATTCATTCATTCATTCATTCATTCAATCAATCAATCAATCAATCAATCAATCAATCAATCAATCAATCAATTCATTCAATCAATTCAGGGAGTCGTATTATTCAATCGTACATTTTTCAATCATGCATTCATTCACATCCGTCAAGTCAATTATATGTAGTAAAATAACAACAATCATTCAGAGATTCAGAGGAGTCGTATTAGGCAATTATGCGGTTATCCGAGAAGACAGAAAGAAGAAGGCATGTTTAAATTGTAAAACAGTCAGCCTATTTTTTCTCAAAAAGCTTCATTATCTTTACCAAATATGTGTTTTTCAACATTATAATAAAGCTTTATAACTTTTTGGGAAATGAATAAAATTCAATTCTTAGCATGCATTTTTTATGATAGTGAACAGGTTATTGACAAAAATGTTTTCATTGGGGTCACTAAGAAGAAATGAAGAGAGACTGATTCATGTTCGAACCAACTCGGAAAGCTGTTAATCAGAAGCTGCACTTTACAGAAGTTGTAAAATAAGTGTTCAATGGTTTCATTTTCATGTTCAGAAAAAGAACAACTTTGATAATCACTTTGCCCGATATTAGGATTTACTTGGAATTATTCAGTGAAGCAACCTGTGTTTAAAGTTTTGGATGGGGTTGTCGATAGATGATTTCTGATTGACTTCCAGGCATTTTAAGTGATAATGAATAATAAATAAATAAATATTTATAATGCGCATATTCCACCCCCTAAGGCATGCCTACAGAATAGTTACACTGGAGTATTCACACTTGAAATTATAAGTAATATGCTGAGAAAAGGTTTGTTTTAAGTCTGAACATTTTGACATATGCTCTTGCATAATAGTGTGATCTGTGGTGCTGGTTTTGTTCACACAATACTTGATAGATGAATTTACAATCATCAGAACGATTAAAATATTCCCTTTTATCACGCACATTTCAAAACGTCGTGCATAACCAGACTTGCTTGGTAGAAAAGACAGCCCCTTTAACACTTAAGATCATGGAATATCAGAGAATTTCTAAGATTTGGGAGAACATTCTCCGGATATGTTTTATCTAACCATTATTTACCAACATATAGACGACGTACCTATTTCGGTGAGGGCGGTTATTATCAGTGCTCCAAGCACCGCTCCAAAAGGAGTCTCCATTGGTGGCAACACGGAACTGACGCTGTATGGAGATTATCTCCACCTACCCAGGACCAACAATACGGGCACTGACTGGCATCCTGTCTACAAAAGCAGGTCGTACAAGTTTCCTGTGGGCTGGACAGTATACCGACTTTTCATTGGTCCTCTGTGTTCAATGAAAATATATGGCTGATCATGAATATCAAGTAACGAAAGAAGAGATAATTTATCACCCACAAACAAACGTCAATATGTAGTCGTGTGTTATGTTTTTCATCTTTTTTTCACCCCATTTTCTTCACGCTTGATGTTAAGAACGAAGCGGCTGCGTCAGGACATATAGCGCTGGGCAGGTTGCGCACATTAACACATGAATGCCAGTGTATACGAATCACGTGTGTCCCAAGGCTATTCCCTCTCAATGATATGCATGATTAATCGTAAATACCTAGCCAGTGAGCACATATTACAGTTCTATGTTTAACATGTTCTATTCTCCTGGAATATGATGGATTGAAGGGCTGACTGACTGTTTCCTGAATTGTACTGACAAATACTTGTGACTTTGATGTACATTACAGCTTTCGATCATACTCATTTTCACCGCGAGACAAAGTGGGTTTTCAGGGAAGCCCATCTGTTGGACGAGGGTGCTAGAAGGCATCACATCAGTTACACACGGTTGATTCAGGGTAGCCCGTCGGTTGCCTTCGGGTGCTTAAGGGTAGCACATTGGTTGCACACGGATACTTCAGGGTAGCAAAAGGGTTGCATACGGGTGCTTCAGGGTAGCACATCGGTTGCACGCGGGTGTTTAAGGGTAGCACTTCGGTTGGACGCGGATGCTTCAGAGTAGCACTTTGGTTGCAGACGGGTGCTTCAGGGAAACTCATTGGTTGCAGACGGGTGCTTCAGGGAAGCACATTGGTTGCAGACGGGTGCTTCAGGGAAACTCATTGGTTGCAGACGGGTGCTTCAGGGAAACTCATTGGTTGCAGACGGGTGCTTCAGGGAAGCACATTGGTTGCAGACTGGTGCTTCAGGGAAACTCATTGGTTGCAGACTGGTGCTTCAGGGAAACTCATTGGTTGCAGACGGGTGCTTCAGGGAAACTCATCGGTTGCAGACGGGTGCTTCAGGGAAACTCATTGGTTGAAGACGGGTGCTTCAGGGAAGCACATTGGTTGCAGACGGGTGCTTCAGGGAAACTCATTGGTTGCAGACTGGTGCTTCAGGGAAACTCATTGGTTGCAGACGGGTGCTTCAGGGAAACTCATTGGTTGCAGACTGGTGCTTCAGGGAAACTCATTGGTTGCAGACGGGTGCTTCAGGGAAGCACATTGGTTGCAGACTGGTGCTTAAGGGTAGCACATCGGTTGCAGAAGGATGCTTCAGGGAAACTCATTGGTTGAAGACGGCTGCTTCAGGGAAGAACATTGGTTGAAGACGGGTGCTTCGGGGAAGCACATTGGTTGAAGACGGCTGCTTCAGGGATGCACATTGGTTGCAGACTGGTGCTTCAGGGTAGCACATCGGTTGCAGACGGGTGCTTCTAGGGAAACTCATTGGTTGAAGACGGCTGCTTCAGGGAAGCACATTGGTTGCAGACGGGTGCTTCGGGGAAGCACATTGGTTGAAGACGGCTGCTTCAGGGAAGCACATTGGTTGAAGACGGCTGCTTCAGGGAAGCACATTGGTTGCAGACGGGTGCTTTAGGGATAGCACATCAGTTGCAGACTGGTGCTTCAGGGTAGCACATCAGTTGCACACGGGTGTTTCAGGGTAGCACATCGGTTGAATGCTGGTGTTTAAGGGTAGCACATCAGTTGAATGCTGGTGTTTCAGGGTAGCACATCGGATGAATGCTGGTGTTTAAGGGTAGCACATCGGTTGAATGCTGGTGTTTCAGGGTAGCACATCGGTTGAATGCTGGTGTTTAAGGGTAGCACATCAGTTGAATGCTGGTGTTTCAGGGTAGCACATCAGATGAATGCTGGTGTTTCAGGGTAGCACATCGGATGAATGCTGGTGTTTAAGGGTAGCACATCGGTTGAATGCTGGTGTTTCAGGGTAGCACATCGGTTGAATGCTGGTGTTTAAGGGTAGCACATCAGTTGAATGCTGGTGTTTCAGGGTAGCACATCAGATGAATGCTGGTGTTTCAGGGTAGCACATCGGTTGAATGCTGGTGTTTAAGGGTAGCACATCGATTGAACGTGGGTGCTTCAGGGTAGCACATCGGTTGAATGCTGGTGTTTAAGTGTAGCACATCGGTTGAATGCTGGTGTTTAAAGGTAGCACATCGGTTGCACGTGTGTGTTCCTCAGGATGTACACATGTTGCAGACATGTCGCTTACAGGTGCTTCACTGTTGGTACGTATGTTTCATATGGTAATATTCCCGGGATGTACACGTGTTGTAGACATGTCGCTTACAGGTGCTTCACTGTTTGCACGTATGTTTCATATTGTAATATTCCCGGGATGTACACGTGTTGTAGACATGTCGCATACAGGTGCTTCACTGTTTGCACGTATGTTTCATATTGTAATATTCCGGGATGTACACGTGTTGTAGACATGTCGCTTACAGGTGCTTCACTGTTTGCACGTATGTTTCATATTGTAATATTCCCGGGATGTACACGTGTTGTAGACATGTCGCATACAGGTGCTTCACTGTTTGCACGTATGTTTCATATTGTAATATTCCCGGGATGTACACGTGTTGTAGACATGTCGCTTACAGGTGCTTCACTGTTTGTACGTATGTTTCATATTGTAATATTCCCGGAATGTACACGTGTTGTAGACATGTCGCTTACAGGTGCTTCACTGTTTGGACGTAAGTTTCATATTGTAATATTCCCGGGATGTACACGTGTTGCAAACATGTCGCATACAGGTGCTTCACTGTTTATACGTATGTTTCATATTGTAATATTCCCGGAATGTACACGTGTTGTAGACATGTCGCTTACAGGTGCTTCACTGTTTGGACGTAAGTTTCATATTGTAATATTCCCGGGATGTACACGTGTTGCAAACATGTCGCATACAGGTGCTTCACTGTTTGTACGTATGTTTCATATTGTAATATTCCCGGATGTACACGTGTTGTAGACATGTCGCTTACAGGTGCTTCACTGTTTGTACGTATGTTTCATATTGTAATATTCCCGGGATGTACACGTGTTGCAGACATGTCGCTTACAGGTGCTTCACTGTTTGTACGTATGTTTCATATTGTAATATTCCCGAATGTACACGTGTTGTAGACATGTCGCTTACAGGTGCTTCACTGTTTGCACGTATGTTTCATATTGTAATATTCCCGGAATGTACACGTGTTGTAGACATGTCGCTTACAGGTGCTTCACTGTTTGTACGTATGTTTCATATTGTAATATTCCCGGAATGTACACGTGTTGTAGACATGTCGCATACAGGTGCTTCACTGTTTGTACGTATGTTTCATATTGTAATATTCCCGGGATGTACACGTGTTGCAGACATGTCGCTTACAGGTGCTTCACTGTTTGCACGTATGTTTCATATTGTAATATTCCCGGGATGTACACGTGTTGCAGACATGTCGCTTACAGGTGCTTCACTGTTTGTACGTATGTTTCATATTGTAATATTCCCGGGATGTACACGTGTTGCAGACATGTCGCATACAGGTGCTTCACTGTTTATACGTATGTTTCATATTGTAATATTCCCGGGATGTACACATGTTGCTCACAATCCTTCACGGTTGCGTATGGGGGCTTCTCAGGCTTCATACCGGTTGCACGCGGATTGCACACGGTAACGTCACGCGTAATAAACAGGTGCTTCATGATTTCCACACAGGTTGCACGCGGTAACGTCGTGTAGAGCAAACATGTGTATCATGATTTCCTGACAACTGGCTGGGCTGCACACAGGTTAAACATGGGTGGTTCTCAGGTCCCACAGTGTTTACGCACGGATGCTTCCCACGTTACGAATGTATTTTAAACTTGGGTAGCACACACGTCTGCTTCACAGACTGAGAACCGCAGGGGAGTTGGGCACCGAGACGCACCCTTTTGCATAGCGTGAATCACAAACTTGTATACTATGGGTATTGCCCGCGAGTGCTTCCTCCTTGTAAACACGTGTAGTGTCAATCGTGTTTATGTGGGTTGCACACATGTTGCACACGGGATGAGCACCTACCCAACGACACTCTCTCCTGTGCTAGTCGTGAAACACTGGTTAGTAGTACATGGAACAGGGGCCGTTTTAGTCGAATGTGACAAAATATCTGAAAGGCAAACGAAAGTATACCAAATGTGTGTTTGATGAAATTTAATTTTTAATAACTGTTGTTAAATATGATTATATATATTTATCCAACACTCCTGTTCATATATAGAAACTAACATGTATCTTGGTATTTCGATAAAATAAACTAGTTAAATGGAAGAAATATTTTGCAATTAACCTAACCCCTTACATGTTCCATAAGTAGTAAATCCTCGCTAAAAGGAAAAACAACGTACTGATTCTCACTCACACTGACTAATAGTCGGCATAGTCCAGTCAACAACTGACCTGTGTATTGAACAATGAAAACATGAATAAGTGCCGGGCTCAGGAAAGCTTACACTAACAATGAAACAAGCAACGTAATGGCTTTTCTCTGATGGTGATGATGATTATGATGATGATGATGATGATGATGATGATGATGATGATGATGTCGGATAAGATGAATAGGTCACAACAGTACACTAACAATGAAACAAGCAACGTAATGGCTTTTCTCTGATGGTGATGCTGATGATTATGATGATGTCGTTGGATAGGATGAATAGGTCACAACAGTAGACTGTGTTTGGTCGTATTTAGTCTTTGTTGCATTTTGGCCAACTCCAAGCTGTCTTTTACTTTCGTGTTGATAATATAGCAGCTTCATTTCTTCCTGAAAACCCACATCTCGCATGAAGAGAGACCACAAGGCTGTAGTGTTGCTATGAGTAAAAGGACATTAATTAATGAACATGATTGAGATATTTTATGAAATGTATATGCACACATTTTTAAAGGAATTGTC